CAAGGATAATCACAGCAAATGACCAATCTCAGCTAATCCTAAATATTTATTGAAATTCATACATATCCACAATATTTAATATTTTACTCTTATAAAGCTATAGAAATGATATCAGAGTATAACTTTAACTGCTCATTTAAATATTTTGGAGTTTACATTTTCATTTTATTACTCTTAATAAATACTTTTTCAGTTACCGGAATATGCTATTTTAGTCAACAAGAATTAGGAATGTTTTTTGAAACCACCACTTTGAAATGAGCAAGGACATTAAAAGGTATGATAGAAAGAAATTATTATCAAATTTGGTGGGAATCTCAGAATTTAACAAAGTAATAGTTTGAGCATATCGATATTGATGATATCAAAACATATCACAGTGTTATACTAGAACTTTTTTTTATTTTTTTTGTAGCGCCGGACACCAGGTCAAAAAATCACAGCTGGAATCTAATCCAGAACTGGCATTGATCGAAAGTTCAATTAGGTACAACAAAAATGAATGGATAACTCTATTGTCTTCACTGTAGATGTGCAATGGTGATAATTGGATATTTTCACACATTCACACCCTCTCTATAAATACACAATACTATTTTTAGATATATATGTACTACATGTATATCTTTTTTTAAAAGATTTACATTTCAATTTACATTTCAAAAGAGGACAAAAGACAAATTCTGAGTGAGCTCACAAAGCAAACAGTGGGGAATATTATGATATTGTATGATAGCCATCTGTGTTAGAGATGGTATTTGAACACAGCAATGATTTAGTAGAATTTCTAGTTCTGTTTTTTGGGAACTGGGAACTCTTGACTCGATAACATGAATGATGAGATTAATAAAAAAAAAAACAACAGTCATCTTTCATAAATAAAACCCACATAGTTATTTTCAAAAAGTTGGATCAAGCAATGTAGATAATAAATATAGAAAAAATGTTATACCAATATTATTGAAACAAATATAATGACAGTGTAGGAAGAGCAGATATTTTTCTCAAATATTTCTTTCACATACATTTTTGATGACAAGTTTTTTATTCACATTTTTGACAATTCTTTTACATTATGTACTATGAAATCTGTATTAGAAGCCGCATCCCTAATAGAAGTCACAGACATTCTTTTTGAATAATTGAGAACCAAAAATTCATCATTTTTCATATGTGTAGGTGCTCTAATAGAAGCCGCATCCCCTCTGTTGCATTGTAACATTTTAATAGAAGCCTTGGTTTCTAATACAGATTTTACAGTAGTCAACCATGGAAATTTGTTTTGTCACTTCAAGTAAATATTTAAAAAATGACATGTTTAACATAATACTGCAACTGAGAGACAACAGGTAACATATGTTGATAGATTATATAAAGCATGCCAATAAAAAAAAATCTTTTTGTGACATCATGTTATTAATATCCTCAGATATGGTACATACAAGATTAGTGAAACGAATACAAATATTTTGTCATTGTTGAAAAAGCACAGAAAATTTACCTGCTATTGTATTATCATATCATTAGTGTACATATATAATAACTCGTTATTAAACTAATTACTAGTATACTTAAACTGAATAATAAATATTTTGATGTACTAAGAGAATACATGCATACACATAATATTTTTATTTTATTTTATATACATTTTATTATTTTTATTTAAAGAGACATTATTACTAAGTACTAATGTTTGGTGAGGTAGGTCTTCATTCAAAGAAAAATAAAATTGTATGTATTGGTGATTTGAGGCACAAACACAAATATATACACTTTTTTTGTTCATAGAAAGTAAATTTCATTTTACCAAAATACAAATCTCATAACTTAAGTAAGAGGTTTTGCAAGATCTCCAAATCAACAGTTAAATATACCGGTACTATTGATAATAAGCTAAGAGATTTTCAATTCAAAATATTGCATAAAATCTTGGTTACCAATGTAAACTTAGTGAAAATGAAGCCACCCAGAGTGGAAAATGCTCTTTGTACTTTCTGTCCAAAAGAAGATGAAACATTAGTCATCTTTTCTGTGAATGTTCATATGTGAAATTCTTTTGGGAAAGTTTTTTTCATGTTATGGGGAAATAAACTAAAAATCCAGTATCGACCAAAACAGTGGTAAATTATTTTAGGAGACCCTGAAGCTTCTTGTCTTGTAAATTTTCTCATACTACTTGGCAAAAGATTTGTGTACATATCTAAATGTAAACAAAATAAACCAGATTTCATAGATTTTAGAAGATATGTTCATTCAATACAAAACATTGAATTTGCTATTGCTTATATAAAAAATAAATTAGCTGCTCACAATAAAAATTGGGGGAAATTTTTAAGGTTGACAACATAGTATGCCAGAAAATTTCCATTTTTCATAATTTCAAGAAAATGTATGGTGAGGATAGTGGATTGTAGAAGTTCAAAATGTGTTTCTATAGCTCTATATAATGCCAGAGATATGTCTTTTTCAGTAATGTAAAATTTTAAAAGACTAATAAAAAAGTTTAAAAAATATCAATGTATGATTTTCTGTTGTGTCAATAATGTGCCAGTGAATTAGCATAACCAGTTGCGTCACAGCACATCTTTATGCGTCAGTTGCACGTCATATCTGCTTAGAGGGCACTCTGGGGCTTTGTGACCATCTTAAATCCTAGCATAGTAACATTAGGTATGGAAAGATAAGACTTTTATTTCAAAATTTTGTTTGCACAAATACTGTTGAATCATCAAATCCCAAAAATTCCCAGTAATGAAAATTAAAAAATTTATAACTAGTTAACACTCATCAGAGAATTAAAAAAATTACATATTTGTGATTTTAATTGAGGAAACTATTATTTCAGTTTTTGTTATACAATCATATAATTGCTCTCTGTAGTAGATTTTCGTGTCAAATAAAATTATTATTATATCTCTGAATTTTACCTAATTTTCTGCTTTTGGTTTAGACGATGAAGTGACAGACACACGTTTTACTACTAACATTTGTGTATAATTGTGTACACAACCAAACATCCCTTCTATTCAAAAGACTCAGGGAATTTAAAATCAGTATAATTTCTTTTAGTGCTGTTACCAACATGTGTCAATGTTATCTTTGAAATTATAGTCGCTCTAAACTGATTGGTATTTCAAACTGGTGATTCTATTCAATATATTTATACTTGAAATGGTTGCAATCATGATATAGCCAACAAGAAAACCCTCTAGATGTCATCAGATGTCACACCCAAAGGGAAACACTTTTAAAAATACTTATATCGCTAAATGCTGTTTCTGTCTAAAAATTAAGAATATTTTCATCCAATAGAATTATTCTAACTAAATTCATATATCCTCATAGTCATTCGCTGACGATGTGATGCGCGGAGACAAATGGGTTTTTCCTATGATACACCACTGTCCACATTCTTGATTAGTGACTGATGTCACGTATTCTAAAAAGTTTCAACAGAACAAAATTCAATTTTGCCAAAGGGGAATATTTAAGAACATACTATCATCAATGAATTAAAAATAATTATTTTGTGTGTGGTGGAGATTATAAGAAAGTGTGATCTATTTCACTTCTGTGCGATTACTCGCCCATCATAGTATTGCGTATTTTAATTTGTATAGTAAACAGCGACGTGGCAGATTTGCCAAGCCTACACTAGTACTACTTCACTACCCCCACTCATTCAATGTTTCCTAGCATGACATTTTCTCAAATCAAACAATTGCAACGGGATATATAACTGAAAAAAACAGCCGTTCAATGAATATACATAATGACGATGAGCACATGTTACTGGATTACGAGAACAGTTCATTCATACTGCGTCCTACAGCGTTATGAATGATCACAACTTTTTACAATGCCAGGCATGAACCGGCGTACGGTACAGGCAAGTACGGTACTACGTGACTCGCCGATTTACAGTCAACTCTATAATGGTTACGATCGATATGTTTCATTACAAAGGATAGGTTAATGTCTCATTAAAGCATCAACTTTCAAAACTGTGAACTAACCTGCTTGCAACGGAAAGTTGTTGTTCGCTTCCACTCTCTAAATGTCACGCTATGGATCAGCTGAGTTGAAGAGCCGGAAATGTGAAGACTGCCCTCATCGGCATAGTCGTTTATTGATTTCGTTCAAGTTGGGAACATTTATTTCGAGTGGGGGAGTAATTATCCGTGTTTATGAACCGCACCGAAACTATAATTTATATTACACCAATGTTAAAAGTTATTCAAAAATTAATGAAATAAATGTTCTCTAATAAGTCTATAGTGACCATATAGGTGCTCTTTTGTCTTCTCTATCAGGAGTTTTCGTGCAACGTACCCCGTCAAAAATGGTACTCGTCAAGCGAAAACTCTCAAACCTATTCTCGCGATAGTGCAGTGCGCGATTCCCGTCGTTCTTGTTATTGATGTACTCGCTGTTTTGGTAGCTTGTGTATTGAGTACTCGTAGCACAATTCTTGTTTTGTCAGAGATTTCTATATCAACTCAGCTATGGGATGCGACGGAGGAACAATCCCGAAACGGGATGAACTTGTGAGACTGAAGAAAAAACCGGAACAGGTAGACAACTAGGTTTTTACACGATTCTACTGGTAGTGTCCGCTCTTTCCTCTCACCTCTTGTCCAGTGTACGGACACAGACTACGACTGAGAGAGAACGGAATAAGCGAATTGCTGGCACCTTTCTGTCGAAGCCACTTCTTAATCTGATTATACCCATTATTTTTCTCAAAACTGTCGTCGGTTTAATTTTCGACAGAATTCTGCGCACCGTGCTTTATTTTGTATCAAGATGTGACGATCATTGTTCAGTGGAGACTTCTCTGTGGTTTCCCCGCTGATAGACTAGCTAGGAAGACCCAATGTACAATGATATCCTGTGCGAGGTGTTAGGACCGTCAGGAAAGCCCCACTAACAGTCCACAGGGCCCTGACGATCTAAAAATGTCGGGTAGGATATAGCAGAAAAAATAATAATTGTTACAGCATCCATTTTGTGTGGAAATATTGTTAGAAATGATAAAAAAATTCCCAAAATGCTGCTATTTATCAACTATAATTTTTTTTTTACGGAAAGAGTTCTTTAAGGCCCTTTAACCCCTCACCTTAACCCTCATCCTAACACTCTAGCCCTCTAATGGAACTCAATATGCCCCTCCAAATAACTACAAGTGACCTGAGGCTGAAGGCAGGTATATACATAAGGTATACATATATATACATAATATTAATACTGAGTTTTGTTTTTTGTATGCAGAAAGATAAAGACATGGATTTATTTGTGAAATGGTGTTTATGCACAATAAGTCAAGAACCATTGAATCAACCTATTGTAGCTTGTGAACTTGGAAGGTAAGAACCATTGAATCAACCTATTGTAGTTTTCATAATATTCAGTTTAGTCTGAATCTTTTAAAGAATGACACTTCTAACTAGTAAAAAAAATGTGAGCAATTCGCTTCAAATTCCAATCTCAAAGTTTGAGTGAATTTCTGTTCCAAAACTAACAGTCACAATCATCCTTAAGACTGGCAAGTAATTGCTAATATCTTGTCTCTTGTATGAACTGAATGTCTTGGATAATATTCAGTTAACACATTATTTGATTCTTTCAGACTATATAATAAAGAATCTATATTGGAGTATTTATTAGACAAATCAATCTGTCAGAATGCACAGCATATTAGAGGATTGAAGGTATGAATCAATTCATGGTATACAGGTACATAGAAAAATGTACCATTGCCCATATATATAATTGTATTTGTTGCATTTACTACCGATAGTATGTATACAGGGGTTTTTCTAGAAAAAAACTGCAAGAGGGAGCACTGCAATTCAGCGGCAACACCAAGTGGGGGAGATAGGGTTCTCCCTACCAGGGTGTGGAGTTTTTGATAACTCTAAGTTAAAATGGAGCATTCTATGGCTTCCTTGGGGCAAAAATTACTATCAGACATGTGATCCCTGGTCAATCAGTTTTATGGTTGCCAGAGGATCTGCTTCACATGGATAATGGGGCACATGGCCATGGCATGAGGGGGCTGCACCCCTGTTCCCTTGTTTAAAAAATTCTCTTGTATAGAATAGATTAGAGATCAATAAAGTTGTATTTTCATCTTCTATTTTACTACAATGCTAAGTAGAAGATGAAAGTAGACAAATTATGGGCACATATACATGTACATTTGTACACCTTGACACACAATACTGGAGTACAACAAAAAAACATAGGGGTGATAACCCTTTGGCTAACTGGCAACAAATTTTGTCTTAAAAACAACATTCCAATTTTCCTGTGTCCCACCTGTTTTTCAGAAATTGTGTTTAAAATTTGGTACAAAGACTCGCGCACCTTGCACAAAAATAATTTTTTTAAATATTGCTTCATTGTAGGATGTAACAGTGCTAAATTTGACAACGAATCCAGTGTATGGTAATGACAAAGTTGCTGATAAAGGTGATGCCTATATTGATAGACAGAAATCCAAATATATCTGTCCCGTCAGTGGCCTAGAAATGAATGGAAGACACAGGTCAGTAGTAAATGTCTAGCTCATCACAAATATGACCCATAGGCTGAATTATTCATACCAGAGTAGTTACATTTTGAGGTTTTGTTTTAGCAATATACCTCAGATGTAAATGGTTGATGAGAGTAAGAGTTCCCGTTAGGATGTCCACTTTTCTGAATACCATGGTTACATAGGTCAGGAAAGCAGTGAATGTAATAACAATAGAGAATTGAACAGTCTATAGATGGGTTAAAACAAGTCTTGCGGCTTTCTCAATCAGATCTCAACAGCTATTTACCACAGTCTGTTTGTTAAATCCTTAATTTTTTAAGGTGAATGGATTGTATTTTTTGTGTGGTTGAAATATTATAGAAGGTTTTAGCCTGTGAATAAGTAACATGATTTTAAACAGAAAATATGAAACATGGAAACAAAACAAAGATGTAAGGTGTACCTTATTATTTCTCATAAATAAAAAGAAACATCAAGGTGGATTTGATAGCATCTGAATCCTGTCAGCTGGTGCAATTGCTAGAGGAAAATACTTATTTTGTTTAGGTTGTCTATAGCATTAAGGTACAATTAGTATGACTGGGCTGATGTCATTAAAAATTTTAATGACTAAACTTGTGCCAGTAGTTATTTTTAAAATACAATCCGTATATTGTGGCTATTGTTTTATTCGTTGTGTTCATTATCATGGGGATTTTCAACTATAGCTGTAAATAAAGTACAATGAATGTACATAATGATGATGAGCACATGTTACTGGATTGCGAGAACAGTTCATCCATATAATTGCGAACAGTCAGTCATACAGCATTTGAATGAAGCACAACTTTTTACATCACTAGGCATGAATCGATTGATATGTTTCATTACAAAAGATACGTTAATGTCTTATACCGGTAAAAGCATAAACTTTCAAAACTGTTGACTTTTGAGTTTATGTGTTTGTGATTGACTCCAAAAATTATTCATACATCATAAACTGTTGCTATTAACAGTCGCTTAATTGTGTCTTGTCTCACTTTCTATTTCAGGTTTTGTTTTCTACCAAGTTGTGGATGTGTTTTTTCTGAGAGAGCTCTTAAAGAAGTTAAGTCTACAGTCTGTAATAAAGTAAGTCAGTGTATAATATAATATAATAATAATAATGAATTTATTGCATCCTTAGAAATAGTTTCCATTGGTTGACAGCAATAAAATGTTTGTATCAAAGTACAATACATATACACATACACAGTCCCTCCATTATAGAAAGTAAAATGTCAGTTATTGTTATTTCTGATTTCAAATATTTTGTTTCACCAACTTATCGTATTAATAGTCTTTTCTTGAACTCATAATATATTTAAATATCGGGACATCACTTTTCAATTCTTCTGGAATATTGATATTATTAAATTACTTTTGTCTTTCTGTTTGGTACCTAAGACATTCCATGAAAAATGTTCATCATTTTGATCTGGGAACATTGCTTACAGATTCTGTCTTCTAAAGGTATTTTGGGTTGGGTATGTCTATCCTTCTCAATTTCTAATACACGACTGCTTATTCTGAAACGAGTCGTTAGGATTTTATGTATATGCAGTTATTAAGCCCTGACATTTTACTGTCAGCCTCGTATTGTTTTATAAATGGTAACATTGCCAACTAAGTTGCTGACTGGTTTGCTATAATGTGTGTTGTAATAATTTTATGTACAGTGCAACAGCTAGTATCAGCTTCAATGTTGTCCCAAGGCCTTTTAAGTACAGCGGTTATATCATGAGTTGGTCACTGAAATGCTGTGATTGAACTTTTAGAAACACTTCTGTGTACAATATTAGTGCTTGGAGCAATGTATTTCAAGGAAGTATATGACAGAATGAAAATAAAACTGTGTATCCTCATGGATATATCAGAAAGTTAAAGGGGAACCGCTCAATCCCATGGATTGCACCATATGCTCATGGGTAATTAACTCTGCCTCTGTCAACTAAGTAAATGAATGCTTATTATGCTCGCTTACTCAAACTGTGATTGACAGGCATTTTGCATACATTAGCCGCCATTTTAAACTCAGGATTTTTACTTCGCGGCACGTTTCGATTGAAAACAATAACATTTCTATATCAAAAGCCTAAACAGATGAGTGTAATCTCTAGCGTACATATTCAAGCCCCGTAGAAATGTATTTAGAATCACAGCTTGATCTCTAAACATAGTAAATGGCACCCGCCACGATGTGAGTGGCTTGATTTGGATTAGCATACTAATTGCGGTGGCCATCTTGCCCCTATTTATAGTATCGGTTCTTCTTTAACATGCTAACATAAGTTGTGATTATGATTTGCATCAAATTTTGAAAAAAAACTAGTGTATTAGATTTTTTTAGATTTTTAGTTTTTGACACGATTCAACATATTTGCTGAATACTTGATCATAGCTGAATCTACTTAAATGCTCAGCGGTTTGCTAACAATTTCTGACCCAAATATCTTGTGAATGCTGTAATTGTTGCATTTGGTATACTGCACGACAGTGTTCCCCAAGGAAAATAGCGTATAATATCGGCTAATTTGTATAACATAATGCCCTGAGGAGAAGCCTGCACAATGACATGCTATTTAGTATGCCAAATGCTATAAACAAAATATATCAGATAATACAACTTAAGTACAGAGTGTATAGAAAATGTATGCAGCTTCAAAAACTATAAATGTGTACCAGAATTTTCATGTAATGTCAGATCATTCTGAAAAGTTGTTGAACCCAATGAAAAAAAAAACATGCCAATCAAGTTAATGCTTAGTGGGACATAGCATGCTAACAGTTTATTTAGAACTAATATTTCAATTGTTAGAGATATCCCCGTCAAACGATTTGCACGTTCCCCTGAACCTGACCATCCATGACTGTACCTACAAACCTGTGCATCATCATGTTAGACTAAGCTGCATTTGACCAGAGTTAAAATGAATAAGGAAAGACTTTCCATTGTACCTCCACCCCCACCCCTAATCCTAACTATGTTATCTAAAGGGCATACATATATAGGGTTAAGGTTTGAGTTAGGGTAAGAAGTGGCGTACAATGGGAATTCTGCTGAGGTGAGATGATGGCTGGCTGAATAAATCAATCTTAGCTGGCAGAGATGAGATGTTCCAATCTACTTGAGAATGAAATTCATTACATCACAAAATGTAAACTTTACACAGATGAATGAGAGTTGTTATATTCACATTTTTTAAAGAAAATTAACAATTTTCAAAATTGTACAAACAAACAAAGAAAATTCATTCATATATTGAATACAAACAACAATTATTCACTAACAGATTTTGTCAAATTTATAAAAACAGCAAATACCATTAGAGAAAACCACCTAATGGGTCATTAATATATTTTTTTACATTATTCCATGTAACTGTATTGTAGTAGATTTTAGATATCTAACTTATGTTTATTTTAACACCTTTATTACATTTTATAAACCAAAATAGATATATAATTCATTCTATAAGGTTGTAATAAAAAATAAAAAAAATTATCTTATAGTAACATGTCACATGTGTAAATGGCATTTAATATTTACATTAAATCTATTCAGCCCTTGATTAATTAAAATTTTTGTCTTCTTAGTGTGGGGGAGCATATTCAAAAGGTGATGAGATTGTGTTGAATGGCTCTGACGATGATGTTGCAGCTTTAACGGCAAGAATGGAAGATAAGAGAGCCAAAGCAAGGGCAGCAAAAGTAAATATAATATTATGTACAAGTTTATAGTTGTCTCAGTGTGACAAATTATGACAACTATTACCATCATTTTGCATTGTTCACTGTATCATGTAAATTTAATTATTTGTTTATGAAAAATGGAATATGTGACAACAACAGTGACATATGTCCAAAAAACTAGACTGGCTGATTACTGTATTCAGCAAAATTAGAGCAATCTCAACTCAGAAAATCTTGTTCAGTCACACAGTCAAGCCCCCCCCCCCCCCCCCCCGAACCCCTCCAATATCAAAATGCTATTTTATCCCCCATTGTGTGACAGGTCTGGGGCAAATTACATGTCATCAAACATTGTTTATCACCACACGAACAGCAAACACAAACGTTCACAACAAATATGCACATTTTAATACATTAACTTTTGAATTCATAATGTGTTGCCAAATAATTTGACCTGATAGGTCAAGCTTGATATTAGCCAATCAGCTTGTGTGGTACTGACAAAATTCTCTATGAATGCCTGATTATTGGATATAGTAGACACAATTGTCAAGAGATTCAAAATAAATGGCCAACATAATTCATATTACAATGATATTATAATTCGTGATCTTGTTTATTTATTTCAGAAAGCTAAGAAAGGAGGCAAACATAAATTAGATAAATCAAGTACATCACAAGGTATGTATATATAGCATTAAAAGTCATTTATGTATGTTGGTGATCAGTCTTATTTGGACATGTGTCTCATCTGATCACCTGTCATATCTGGACATGTGTCTCATCTGATCACCTGTCATATA